ACAGACTGTCGGTTCACACCCCATCACAAGCCAGCAAAACATCCACGAAACAAAGAAAGGTCTGTCACAGCCAAAAAATACACTCCAGACACGCCGCTGGCACTAGAGGCACAGCATGGCCGCGTAGTGACGGCCCCGACCATATATATATATATGTCGTCAAATAGAACTGCCCGGTAAACCGTAGGCAGAGAGGGAGAAGAGGACAACAAACGAGGGGCTGTGACAAACTGTTTCGTCGGAGTTTCACCGACTCATATATACTCATATATATATATATATATATCGTCACAAACATATATATATATATTGTCACATAACTACAAACTAAAAGAGCGCACTATCTGAGAGAAACGAACTGCCATGGGTATAACCCGTTGCACTTAACACGCACAAGCCTTAACCATTAGGGCAAAGCCACAAAATTTTGGACCATTTTCTCAGTTTAGGCGTGTCATCCTTGAGTGCGCAGGGGCCATGCTAATCTTCTCTGTCATTCCAATTTTAGGTGCCTGAAGGACAACCCTTCACGAGAGGGAGGAAGGTAGGGAGGGAGGGAGGGAGGGAGAGAGACAGGGAGAAGGGAGACTGTCTCCCTTCCTCCCTTTCTCCCGTTCTCTCTCCTCCCTTCCTACCACCCTCCCTCCCTCCCTCTCTCCACCCCATCGAGTCTGCACTGAGGAATTGTAAATCGGGCGGTGATCTGGTGCACATAAGATGAGAGCTGCTTAAGGTTCTTCAGCCGGCATAAACCGTTACCTCTGCAAGGATTCAAATTTCCCACTCAAAAAAAAAAAAAAAAAAAAAAACACAACCTCTTCTATCTGACAACCCGTTTCAGTGCTTGCCCTGCAGGTGGACGATAGTCTATATAGGTTCAGAGTTGGAGCTCTCAGGTTAACGGGGACCACCACTTTTTTTAAGTTTTTTTCCTTTTTCTTTTTTTTTGGGGGGGGGAGGCCGCCACTTTTCAGCTCTCGGGTTAGCAGGTCGAAAACTGAAATGAGGGTTTGAGGGTCAAATTTAATGGGGTTTTTTTTTTTGCCTGTTTTTGCTTTGATTTAAACCACCAGTACCCCCGCGCCTGACCGATGCGCCCCCTGCGCGCCAGGTTTTCCCGAAGCTGCTACTACGGTAGTGGGTACCGGTGGTGGGAATGTGTTCGTGGTAGCGGTACCACAATTTGTTCGGAATACAATGTAGGCCTTGGGATTTCAGTCACGGCCAAGTTTCTTACGGCTGCATTTTCCCTTCCGAACTGACTTACCTTTTTTTTTTTCTTTTTTTTTTTTTTGTTTCATTTTCGTTGAGGTACCAGTCATTGGCTTGTGCATCCTCTGCCGTCTTCACCCGAATAAAACGCCCGGTAATGATCGCTGCATCTGGACAGAAAGTTGTGCCAAATGCAGCTATAATGACCGGGCGTTCTATTCAGGTGAAGAAGGTAGCAACGCGGGCAACTCCCTCCGCCTCCTCATTTTCCTTTCTTTTACGTTGTGCCACGTGGCATTTTATGCCAGCTGCCAGGCATCCACAACGTAGGGATTTACAGAACGCTGCTGCGCAGAACGCACGCTAAATGGCTGCCGTGATTTGAAAAAATGGCAGTGTATCTTTCCATGTTCTTGCGGAGGATTCTGCCTGTACCGAGGCTATCGTGAAGGAAAATTGCTGATGCCTCAGACATTACATGGCAAGATACATCGCCATTTTTTTTTTGAATTTTTTTATTTTCTCTCCAATCCGACATTCGTGGAGTCGACCACCATGAAAATGAGGTGGCGATCTCATCCATACATCACCTCTTTTTTCTTTCCTTTTTTTTTTGTTTTTTTTTTCCTTCGACGCGACTGTTGCACAGGGGAATACCTTACCGTGCACTGATAATGTGTGCTTGAGGGTCGGTGCTCATTGGTCGGTTGTTTTCAACACACACACTGATAGGCCCTATGGGAGGAGGGAGGGAGGGAAGGAGGCAGGGGGGGAGAGAGAGAGAGAGAGAGAGAGAGAGAGAGAGAGAGTTTCAGAGATTGCGAGACAGGGTGTGGCACGGTCGTCCTCATCCATCTGTGCGCCCACTTCCTCGCTAAACTGTCGGGGTTCAACCTCCTGATGAGTCAGTGAAAGTCCCACGAAACAGTCAGGCACAATCATGCTGCTTTTGAGTGTCTCGCAAATATGACAACACACGCACACACGCACACACGCACACACACACACATACACAGAGAGAGAGAGAGGGGGGGAGGGGTAGAGAGTGAGAGAGAGAGAGAGAGAGAGAGTGGCACGGTAGTCCTCGTCCATCCGTGCGCCCGCTTCTTCTCCAAACTGTCGGGGTTCAACCTCCTGATGAGTCGCTGAAAGTCCGACAAAACAGTCGGGCACAGTCATGCGTTTTTTCAGTGTGTTGTGAATATGACAAAACACACACACACACACACACACACACACACACTCTGAGAGGAAAAAAAGAAAGCCACAACTTACTGCCTGACGACGACACGAAATCGTGCCAAACTGTCGGGGTTCAACCTCCTGATGAGTCGGTGAAAGTCTGACGAAACAGTCGGGCACAGTCGTGAGTTTTTTTAGAGTCTCGCGAATATGACAAAACACGCGCACACACACACACACACACACACACACACACACACACACAGAGGAAGAAAAGAAAGCCACAACTTACTGCCTGACGACAACATGAAATCGTTCAACACAGTCGACTCGCGTATTGTACTGCCATGGAGCGCGCGCACGCGCGTGTGTGTGTGTGTGTGTGTGTGAGAGAGAGAGAGAGAGATGCGGAGGAGGTCAAACACGGGGCAAGGCACGTGCACACGGTAGAAGGCGGAAAGACCCTGGTGGGCGGTCGACACGGCAATGGCCAGAGTCTGTACGGAACCAATACGCCCCTGCTGTTTTCCCTTTTCTTTTCCAGCCTACCCGCCACGTTCCGTACTACCGAAAAGATGAGAGGCCTTCCTGGCGGCCACGGACAAAAAGAAGTCCGTGCGTGAGGCCATGCGGGCCCACAAAATTTTTGGAGGCCGCCACCAGTCCGACCCTGCCCCGATCTTCCATTTTGTTGCTTGTGGCAACAAGTGTTTTTGCTGCATGGCTGGGGCCGTGTACTTGTGCTTCAAAGCTAACACCAACGTCAATCATAATTCTGCTAGTGCTACCGGACAGGCTCCCTTGCTTGCCTTACCACCCACGAATGCTGTCCCTCCGCCTCCACCTCCCCCTCCCCCACCTTCTACTCACACTTCTATGGCAGCGGCCACTGACGACCAGTACTTGCGGTCAGTACGGCAAAGGTAGTGGTTGGTACAATACCAACCAATGGGTTGCAGCCTTGGAAGACACGGTATCTCTTATGAAAGCATGGTATGATGAAGCTATGGTCAAGGCAGCGCTGAAGAAACAAGAAGAAGAGAAGTTGAAGAAAGAGAAGGAAGAAGAGGATCGGCGTTTGAAGGAGAAGAAGGATAGAGAGGCCTTTCAGAAAGAAATGAACCATGCGATGAATGCTCGGTTGGAGTCTGTTTGTGATGCTTTTCGAGGACAGAAGAAGAACGCTGAAGTCGACGTACAGAAGATCGAAGCGTTAGGGAAAGAGATTCAAGGTTTGAAGGTCGCACATAGTACGATGGCCAGGAACGATGGCACCTCCACTAGTAGGATGGGCGTACAGGACGATGCGTTGCTTGCTCGGATACTGCAAGAACGCGAGGAAACGAAGGCTAAAATGGAGGTGGCGACGGTGGCCAACAAGAGGGCAGAATCTCTCGAAGAAGCTTTAAGGTTGTTGAAGCAGCAGCACGAAGACGCCTTGCTCGAGGCTGAAAACTGGAAGAAAGAAGCCTTGCAGACCGGCAATAAGTGGAGCAGATTGGCGACGTCCCCATCTTCAACACTGAAGAGATCCTCTTCAACACTGAAGATTCCACATGCTGCCACGCCATGAAAGACGCCTGCAGAACGTGCAGTGGATCCTTCTCAGTTGGTGCATTTACACACGCTAGAGGTCAATGCTCTGAAGGAGCTTCGGCTGCAAGAATTGAATCGATGACGTGAAATGGAGCAAGAGAACGCCAGACTCAAAGAAGAGTTGGCTAAGTTGAGTGCGGGTAGATCTGTTCCGAAATCTGCTTTTCAGAGAAGTTGGACGATGCAGATGGATCGGTTGAAAAAACAGGAAGAGGAAAGAAGAAATCTAGTGACGGAGAAGAAGGTGTCCAATTGACTGAGTGAGAAGTGTTTATCAAAGATGCGAGGAAGGAGTTGGGGACCAAGTGTAAAGACGAGTTAATCGGGATTTGTATGAAGGAAGGCATGAAGTACAGTACTATTCCAAAGACGATCATGGATATGATCGATAAGCGGGTTGAAAGAGCTTTCGGGAAGATGGCGGAAGTTCACGATACTCCGAGGATGTATGCGAACCCAACGGTAGGGAGGATTCGAGGAATTCAGTTGATTCGTAGAATCTCTCCCGAGCACGGCTTCCCTTTGGTCATTAGCTAATGATTGTGCAAATTCCCGTTCTTCTTCACCTTGCAGGTTGAGATGTAAGGAGGTTGATGGTCTTTTTCGATTGGTAGTTGTTCTGCTAATTTTTTATGGTTTGCTTCTCTGGGCTTCAAAACTTTCCGCCGGTTTCAATGAGTGGTTGCTGTCTGGACAGAGGGTTAAAGGATCGTTGGTCTACGTGTTGGTTTCGCCCTGGTTTCATCATCTCTATGTTGGTAGTACCAGCCAGGTTCTAGGTACACGAAGGTTGGAGCACGTATATAGAGTGTGTAATGAGTCGGTAGTTGGGAATGGTAGGAGGAATGAATGTTTGTATTGCTAACTTCGACGATGTGGAACGGGTAACTATGTGGCAATTCCTTTGTGTGTATGTCCTGCTGAAGATTTGGCTGATACTGGACGATTTTTCATCCATCTTTTCTCACCGGCCCTCACTTCCAAGGATAAGCCTCGTAAGACACGGCGACGTCGACTAGGTAAGCGGGAAAGATTACGATGAAAGACGAAAGAGAAAGTTATGACGAATGAACCAGTCACCTCTGTTATCTCCTTGATTTCTTTCCATGCATCTTGTGGGATTGTGTCCTTGAGCCTTCCGGGGATCTTAAATCATTGTCGTGATCAATCAATTGATCAAGTTTCCGTCGTCTGTAGTGGTGGGACGCGGTGTCTCGACAATTGGAAATCGCTTAATCGATGTTATTGATCGTCAGTGGTATCCTGCATTTTCGGTAGAGACCAGCTACGAAACTCCAAAGGTCGGTTGGTTAGCGGCACGGTCATTTCCTTCGATTATTTCGTAGCTTATTGTCGGCGGTCTTTTGCCCTCAAACCTCACCTTATTCAGTTATTGAACCAACCCCTTTCTTACCGTTGAAGATGTGGGAATTGAGTAGATTGGTATACATTTTCTCCGCGATTCGATGTTTTCAACAGAAGAGGACTCGCGGGAGATTACGGACCCTTTTGTCGAAAGTTGTTTTCCAGCAATTTGGTATTCATATTAGGCAGAGGCTGGTATGCCGAGTTACGTTTGACGAAAGATATTGCAAAGCAGCAATTCGTAGGCTGTGCTCGTTGGTGGTTGATAATTTGGACATCGAGCCCGCATGGAAATGTATGATTATTCGGTGGTTGCGTGTTGTTTGGTGCAGGAATGAGTCTGTTGGCGATCTCATTCATAACTTTCGCCAGGTATCACGTGGGGGGGGGTTCTATTGTAGCTGTGCTATTTCTGACCCGCCCTTTCCTCGCATAGGCGGGCACATGTCTTTTCGTATTGGCTCGGTCAGTTTTTTCCCACCTTGCATGCGCAATTCCAAGAACCTACTTCGACCTGACAGAGATCACCTTCTCGACTTTCTTGCTCGACAGATTTGTGATTATTTTCGGTCCATCACTTCTCTCCCTGCTTTTCATAATGGACTATTTATTTGGTTGTCTTCTCAATAGCAGACCTTCTTTTTTTTCTTCTTCTTCTGCATTCGATCTTGATTTCTCGGTATGTTCAGTTAAGGAACATGTCGGTAGACTTAACGATTTGGTATATTGCGCATTGGACCATAACGTAGGATATACCTATGTGTGTTGTCCATCTCAGTATGGTAATGGTATGAACAATTTATTTCTGAACAATTCGGTCTTCTTGCCTGTGTCAGAATCGGAGGATGATGTTCTCATTTCATGTAGAAAGCAGTACGACGATGGCAAGTTCAGTACGATTGACAAATGGAACAGGAAAGGTAAGTTTGGGAGGGCGTATGGACTACCTAAACACAAGGACGTGCTAAGATGGCGGCCTATATGTCCATCATATTTTGAAGGATCCAACGCCGAAGGAAAGAGGGTGGCCAGGGCAGTGAATTGTATGTTGTGGAGGATTCCAGATGCTATGCACTTCAATCTTCGCTCTACCACTGAGGTCATGACACGGATCTACAACATCAACAAAGGATTGAAAAAAGACGAGGTACTGGTGGGTGGTTCGTTCGACATCAAAGAAATGTTTTCTAATTTTTCGCATCAGTTTATCTTGCAGTCGCTTCAATGGATGCTGGAATTCTGGAAGAGTCAGGTTTTTGTCGGTGTTTTGGTTTGCTTGCGTGGGAAAAAGGTACGACTGGCGAAAGGGAAAGGTGAAGATGGTTGAGTTCTTATCACATCCGGTAAGATCATGCGTTTTGTCGTGTACGATCAGGGTAACACTTTCCTGATGGCTGCCGGTATCTTGATCCAACAGATTGTTGGAATCCCTACGGGGAAACCGATCAGCCCGACATTAGCTTGCCTACTTTGTGCATATAATGCGTCCTGTTTTTTTACCGGTCTGCATGCAGAAAGAATGTTGGTGGTAGGTTGTAGAATTGTCGATGACATGTCTATTTTTGTGAAGTACAAGGTCTCGGATCCGGATTCATTAATGAGGGTCGAAAATGTGATCAGACATTTTCGAACATGCTATGACAAAGGATTGGTTCTGGAGAAAACCAACGACAGTCAGGAGTGGGATTTTATTGCGTGTTTGCTGAGGGTTGCAGATAATCCTTGCCGAATCATCTGTATTGCCACGCATAAAAACCAGCGGGCAGGAATTAACAAAGATTTTGGCTCCTACTCAAGCAAGCAACAAAAACTTGTTGTCATCGGTTCCTTTTTTCACAGAGCTCGTACGTTTACTTATGTTCCGGGACATGAGCTTTCTTTTCTTTTTACTATGAAGAACGAGTTGTGGTTGCGCGGCTACCCTGATAGTTACTTTAATAATGCTTTGATCAACTTTTCACGGAAGTTTGCATTGTGTTGGGATCATTGGATTCCAGTACTTACACGATGAGACAGGTTTTTGAGGTAGTGGTCATCTCGCTGTAAGACAGGCGCCTTCATCCTTTTTCAGTTTTCCAGTGTTCGGGTTTTTGAAGATTGGGGAGTGCATGGTTGTTGGGTGGTCATTGGTTGATGTAGTTTTCTTCGTTTGAACATGTAGCCGGTATCCGGAGACGGTGTGGGACCATCTGTTGTCTATGGGACCACTGCCTGTTGGTACACTATTATGGACGTATGCTGTTGCAGAGTTGATAAGTGCGGTACCTTTCGCTGCATGAGGTTTCGAACCGTGGTCATCTTTTTTAGGTAGTTTTTGGTAATGTTTTTTGTCTCCTGAAGTTCCGAGCAGTAGACCTGTGGGTTTCAGTCCCAAGGTTGTTGCGGAGATCTGCAGGTTTCAGTCCGCGGGTCGGTTTTGAGTCAGGGTTTTGGTCCCTGGACTTGATCTGTGGTATGACCGGAATTGACACTCCGAGGTCATAACAGTGGCTAGTCGGTTGTTGATGAAGGGTCTTTCTGATTGCTACTAGCTAGACAACTAAGTACACAAGTATAAATTAGGATGTAGTCATTGTTTTGCTACCTCACAACCGACAAGAACCTTGATGAGCTGTCGGTGGCGGCCGACCGAAACTGGTCGGGTCAACTCTGCCTGGATTCAATATTTCATTTTCTAGTCGCGCTCGGGAGACCTATTTGTATCCATGTGTACTTGGTCTTCTTCTTCTTCTTCTTCTTTCCCCCTCCTCTACTTTGCCATCTCTTTCCTCTTTCTCTTCTTCTCCTTTTCCCCATTTCTTTCGACACCTCCCTTTCTTCCCTTTCCCTTGGTAGTTTCCTGAATGCTACACTGTGTGGTTTCACCTCTTGCAGTCGTCATTCGTCTCTCAGTTGATGCTTATCGCACTCCGTTAACATCTCCCCCCCCTCCTCCCTTTTCTCGTTCTCCCCTCCTCGAAGTCCATGCATCAATCCACCCATCCAACCAATTTCTATCCATTCATCAATTAGACTGGGCCTCTCTCTCTCTCTCTCTCTCTCTCTCTCTCTCTCTCTCTCTCTCTCTCTCTCTCTCTCTTTTTTTAAATTCAGTTCATGTATGCATGTATCATTGGGTTATTCATCGATCTATTCATGCAGTTTTTGATGGGATTGATGATGAATGATGCAATGGATTGATGATGAATGGCAAATCTGCCACCTCCTCGGTCCCCATGTTCTCCAATTGCCCAGTCACTAATTAGGAAAATCCTTTGAATCCATAGTACGGGTCACTACATTCCTGCCCCATCCTAACACGTACGCCAGACTGCAGACTAACCTACAAATGATGAACTGACCGCCAATTTGTGGGTACAACTACGTCTCCAACTTTCGTTGTTGCAACAACCCATGTCCAATAACGGGCGCAAAAAATGACAAATCTTGAGAAAAGGGTTCAAATGGAGGTAAGAATTGCCCTCCGAACCTATCCATTAGCCAATCAATCAACCAATCAACCAACCAATCAACCAATCAATCAACCAATCAATCAACCAATCAATCATCAACCAATCAATAATCAACCAATCAATAATCAACCAATCAAGCAACCAAGCAAGCAACCAATAGACCAAGTCTGTAAATCAACACAATCAATGGAGTTAATCCGTATACCAATCAATCAATCAATCTACAAATGGGCTATCAATCACTCAATCAATCAATCTACAAATGGGCTATCAATCAATCAATCAATCAATCAATCAATCAATCAATCAATCAATCTACAAATGAGCTATCAATCAATCAATCAATCAATCTACAAATGGGCTTCTATACATCAGTTTGCCAAGGATCAATCAACCAAAAGTGATGAGAGCATCTATTTGTCTCTGTCTTCTTCGTAGAGCCGACACATCATCAATTGAGGGCAAGAAATTATAACCATCACCAGCTGGCCTAGCTTAGTTGCTACATCCACGAACTGTTGAAAAATAGACCTGTGTTCGAGTCCAGCTGAACTCGATGAGTGAGGTCAAACACTTCTAGATTACATGGGACTGATCAGTTAGATGATAATGTCTCAAGGCCATCGCCTTTTTTTTTTAAAAATAAAAATATAAAAAAATATATATAGTCCTTCGGGACATCCGTTAAAATTGGAACGATACAGAGAGAGAAGATTAGCATGACCCCTGTACAAGGATGACACGAATAAATCGAGAAATGGTCCAAATTTTTTATAAAAAGGAAAAAATATTTATATATCGTCACATGAATATCAGAGCGCAAAGGCGAAAAAAAAAAAAAAAAAACAGAAGAAAACAAGAAAAAAATCATTCGTTTTTTTCAATTTTTTTTTCTTTCTTACAACTCCCCCTGTTCAGAACCTTCGGCGTACAAGGCCGCCGCCCACGTGGATGTAGGTTGAGCGGCGGCTGCCCCCACCCCCGTGTGTTATATCGACCCACTTGCACACAGCCAGAAGGCAAAGAGGTAAAGAAAAGAGGAAGGAAACAGCCCAAACCAAACAGAACAGGGGGCTGCAAAGCAGATCCTAAATGACAAGCCTAGATGACAAGTCCCACATGCAAACACCGCCCCCGGCAACTACAGGCCAAACGACGGGACAAGACCAGTCAGGATGTCATAAGACAAAGCATAAGAAAAGCTCCGATCCACAGTGTGACCAAAAAATGGAGGAGAAGACAGTCCCGGATGACGATTCCCACATACAAAAACCCGATCGATCTGTAGGTAAATCCATCAACCGTCCAATTCGACTTCCTATCAATAATCCACTAATCAAGCCAAACCAACCAATCAGTCAATCCATCCAACGCATCCATTAATTCAGGACATGCTCACACTAGGAATTTTTTACTAGTTTATGCACATAGTTGCGGTCAGATGCATGCAGGTCCGGCCGTAAATGCGGTCAGGTACATTTTAGATAGTGCTAGTGTGAGTATGCCCTCAGTCAGTAGTACACTAATTAGGGAAACAACCCGTCGATATCCCGCCTGTTCGATATCAACCCATCCGTCAACCAAAACTTGCACATCCATTAATCTCCAAGTAAGGCCAGTGCGGCTACGCCCGCAAAAATGGACAAAAACAGAACATATCAATGCGATATCCGGGGATTGAATGTACTCTCTCTCTCTCTCTCTCTCTCTCTCTCTCTCTCTCTCTCTCTCTCTCTCTCTCTCTCTCTCTCTCTCTCTCTGTGTGCCCCCCCCCCCCCGCCC